CCTCCTCGAGAAGCATGGCGATAAGCTAATCGGTCAATAGTGGACAGGACTTGGTAATCAAAGCTGAGGGCACCGTTAAGGAGAAGATTGAGGAGGGCGCCTATGTCTCTCTCGCTGTCAACTATGGACTCATTCGTCTCATCACAACAACCGCCGATCTCTGCGAACAGATTGGAAACGTCGACTTGGAGTGCCCTGTCGAGGCTGGCAAACTAGCCATCACCAAGACCGTCGAGCTGCCCGCCCAAATCCCACCTGTCCGTCTTCCTCGCCATCTTTATCTAAAGTTGTCAATGCTAACCATAAGTTTAGGGCACATACACCGTCGTTGCGGACGTTTTCGCAGCTGACAAGAGGCGCATCACTTGCCTCAAGGCTAGCGTCACCTTCGGTCGTCCTGGCTTCTTCAACAACGAACTCTAAGAGATAGGCCAGCCAACCCAACTTATCCATGCTTGTCCTCTTTCCCCTCTTCCTTCTATAACATTCGGAAAGCATCGCAGGTAGATTGATTTAGTGCTTGTCCTACTTTGAGTTTTGCATTTCCTAAGCAGCGTTACTCCATCCCTTCGGTCGGCTTGCTTTTTCAGTTTTGGATTTCGGTAGTATTAGTTATGAGGCGACCCTTTGTGCAGTTTGTTTCAAAGGGATACATTCGTCTAAACCAAACCAATAGACAGGAATAAGACCTCAAGGCAACCCACGCCCCAAACCCTGATGATCATAACATGTGACAGACAGGCTCTCCAAGTCGCGCAGCACCCGACTCAAGATATGTACTTCTAAACAATAACCAAGCACGGTCCATTACTCTCCAAATAAGCGACGCACTCGCCTCAGCACGCTGTCTTTCTCTGGGTCGTAGGGGTGATCTTTGCTTGGAATCTCTAGAACGGTTGGGAAAGCCGCGGTGTAAGTGTCCACTCGATGCCGTATTTTATCGGCAACCTGTGATCCAGTTAGCCCAAGGATCCCACTCAACACTCTGGATCTATGCGACGCAGATGAGGGGCTACCGACATGCTGGTTGATCAACACGATGCCAATGTCTTTTCGTTCGGTGAATCGGTCAAACGCAGATTCGATCGCAGCCGTCTCAGTCTTGTTGTCGACGATGAGGAAGTTCTTCTGTGCATCGGAGCCGGTTGTGACATGCTGGAGATTCTTAGTACGTGTTCATGCCCGTCGAGCGGCGCCGCAATGCATCGTACTTACCCCGATGCCAGCCAGAAGTAAGCCTGTTACCGAGTCCTGGTCTACGTCAGTGGAGAGTCCTGGTACTAGCTGCGTGATTAGACGCGTGAAGGTATTGGACTACTCACCTCATCGCCAATCACAGCCAGGAATTGGCGATCTTTGAAATCAGCGTGGGAAGCCATCTTGGAGAAGTTAAAGACAACTTCAAAGATGGGGGAGAATGATGATAGGATAGGCTGCGCCCGAGCTGTTTCCACGTTGATGAAGGGAAGTGGATACCTGCGGTCTGCGCTCAGGCTAGACTGCAGAGGCGGAGCTTTAGGCAGGTGGGTGGGTAGCAGATGGGTGACAGAATAAATGAGAAACCGAAACCATGGACATGACGAGTACAGCACTACCTGCAATGACTAGAAGAATACACCAGAGGGGAAAATGCATTGGATAACACGTATTGTATACTTAATCATTGACTATTGTTTGGGCGTGATCATTGAAATCTACCTGCTTCTGTATCTAAAACAGAGCAGGGCCTGATCTTTGGTGTATGAAATTCACTGTCACTGCTTCTGAGGTAGGCGGCCTTGGCAAGCACCAGTGGATCAAGTCGCTATAGGAACCTAGGTACCTAAGCTCCGTGTTGTGAGCACAGGCAACTTTTCTCAAGTAAACACCACAAAGGTGTGTGCTCTACGTCACCACCAGCATTATCATTGAGAACTCTACTTATTGTTCTAACTGTTTTGTCACTCATTTGACTTTTATTTCGTCACTTTTTTCTTCTACTTCCACTCCTTTGATCCACCTACACACGCGCTGTTGGCTTTGCAGCATCGACGCCTGCCAAAATGCCACGATTAGTTCGGCGCAAGCCGTTCATAGAACGAATGAAGGCGATGCTCAACCCCATGGATTTTCTGCTTTGGCTCTCGGAGGAAATGGAGACGAGGGACTGGGACTCTCAGATTGTCGGCACACAAATTGGCCTGGCTCTAAACTTTGTGTTCCTACTCGCTCGAGCAAACTCAGGGCCCAGCAGCTCTTCTGGAGACGACATCTTTGGCGACGATTCTGGTGGTAGTTGGTTGAGATTTGTCGTAAGTTTCAAGAATGCCTAATCCTTTGGTTATAGTTGCACGCTGACTGTTTTTGAAGGTCCATCCTCTGGTCTGGGGCCTGGTAGTCTTTTCTTGCACTCACACATTCTATGCCTTGAATCGCACCCGCAAATACCGACTATTCCAAGCTGACGTCGACGTCAAGCCATCAACTCCATCAGTACGGCGTGTGAAACTTCAGTCCGACATGGGCACATCCTCTCCGCTGCGATACCTTATTGATATGGTTGCCCCCGAATCGGCCGAATCCCGAGCGCACCCAGACAAGGCAAAGGACGTTTGGGAACTGGCAGTATGGGACCCCCTTCCTATCTCTGTCCGTCTCCTTTGCTTCTTCAGCCCAGGGCATGTTCTTGTTTACATCCTCTTTCTTCCGCTTGCACCGCTCGATCCTCGTCCTAGTGTGACGGTCTTCAATGCGCTTCTTGTCCAAGCTGTTCTCTCCGTCCAGCTCCTCTTCCTTGTTTCGAGATTTACCCAACAAGGCCGAGACAATTCTATAATTCAGAAGGAAGTGATGAACGAGTATAACACCAAGTTTGTCCATCCTCGTATTCATCCCACCGTCAGAGAGGTGGGAGTACAGGTATCAAGCGACAAGACAAATCATATCCGAGATGTCGTTCAAGTCGGAACACCCACAACCCTCGTCCAGACTTCATATTTCAGCCGACAAAGCGCACGTTCAAGTCCCGAGCTACCTGAGAGTATTCGAAACAAAGTGAGGACTCCTCGCATGTCAACACCCCCGTCCGCATTACGACACTCAGATGTACATACGCCCATCAGCGAAGCACGCACCCCATTGGCAAGGAAAAGTCTCCCTGCCGAATATACATCTACTGCTACTTCGACCTCTGCGTCGACTCCAGGTATCTCGGCCTCGTCATCGACTGGGTTTGGCGGCAATATGGGTATCCACACACATAACAAATCTCCTTTGAAAAAAGCAATCAGCATGGGCGATATGAACACCTCTGATATGCCTTCACCAAGGAACTCAAGAGAAATGGCATCGTTTGAGCAGCGAAACCAAGCACTGCACCGCAGCCCGTCAAAGGGGTCCGACTTCCAGGGCTCTACGAGACCAAACCCCTTCGCAGTAGGGGCTCCAGGTTTTAGGAGCCGATCCAAACACGATCGATATCCTTCCATACGATGAAGGAATACTTTGTGGTCTAGAGGGCTTTGATAGCCACGGTTATGTGGACTGTCTCAATGGGAGTTGTGGGAGGCGTTTTCATAGATTTACTTGAGGCAACTTGGCACATGCCATTTCGGCGCTGGTTCCGTTTCTGGATTGAACATAATTGTATAGGTACTTTTGGTTTAATGTTTTGCGGCATCCAACCCACATACAGAATGCCATGATAAGGAAATTCATGCTTGATTTTTACTCTATCATAATGCTCATCTTTATCATAATGTTCGATGGTCGGTACGTATTCACCGCCACACTATCAGTTTATGTCTTTATAGTACAATGAAAACAGACAAGATCGTCTAATGCATGTTAGTTTGTCCGAAATAATAGTCATTCTCAAGCTAGCCGTGCGGCATAAACATATACCGCCTTCACCAAGGTCGTCTCACTCTACTGCCAAAGCCGTGGGTGCTCATCTTCCATGTCGCTGCTCGCGGGAGATAGCTTAGGTAGTTAGGAAGCAAATAGAGCATGGTTGATTAGGTACCTACCTTATTTAAGGAATCTTCAGATTGGCCAGGTAGGTTCCAGTAACCTATCACGCGGCAGGGGGTATCCTCCTCCTTTCCTACCCACCTACTTGCCTTGATAGCTATCACACTAGGCACCTACCTACCTACCTCAATGCACTGCTAAGATATCCTAGGATGAGAAATTTAGAGAGAAGGCAGGTTCGATCGGGCTTTGGTTCCTCAGGCACTAATACCAGGTAACTGGGGCAGGTTCGACCTGCGAGCAAGCACGCCCTTTCTTCCCACAGCTGCTTCGTATCAGCGTGCGATTTCCTTGCCCAACACTCCAACTCAGTTAATTGAAAGGTACACCGATATTTCATCCTGTTCTTTGAATCTGCATGTTTGTCTCTTGCTGTGCTGCCAGTCTCAACTGGTAGTCAACAAGCTGAAGTGTTCACTTTATTCTTACTCTATTTCTGCCTGTCAGGCACCCAACATTTTGATACATTCCTTAGTACCTACGTCAGTCCTTACCTCTTAGCTACCAGTTCGACCCCATTTCTTCTTTTCCTTCTCAGAATGGCCCACCCATTGCCAACATCGGCCTCGGAACAGCCAATTCTTACTCGCCCGCCATCTTCCAAGCCTGTTGAATCCTCTAAAAAAACCAAGCGGCCAGACGGGAAAAGGCAGAGCCAGAGAAGCCTGTCTCTTGGTGGATGGGTAAAAAACTTTCTTCCGAGCCAACGTGCTGAACGTGGAGGCACAATCAGAGACGGTGGCTACTGGGAACTGATGGAATCAAAACGCGACGACGGGCAGCAACCCGGAGTTCGCGCAGTCAGCGCCCATCGAAGTAGAAGAAGCCAGACTGGAGATTCTGATTTGCTGACTCGCTGGAATACGCCCAAAGAAATTCCTGCATTTGAGAACAGCAGCGGAATGTTTCCTTCTCGTCCAGAAGCATTTCCCCGATCCAACAGAGCTTCTTCCTTCTCAGACAGGAAGTGGAGTTGGATTCCAGAAGATATGCGTCGGGATACCTTGTCAATTCCAAAATCTCGTGAAATAAAAGAAACTAAGCAAGCACAACCGGATTCGGAACACGAATCGAAGCTCGGTTCGTGGGCGTCCTTGACGGCGGACAAACGTCTATCTGAAACTCGACGTGCCATCGAGGCCAAGAAAGAGATTAGGCGCCAGCGAAAGGATTTGAAGGAGAGTGGTGATTATCTTGGTGTCCAAGGCATCAATCCAGAAACTGGCGTGCTCGACATAATATCTCCGACTGAGAGCGAAAAGAGTGCGAGCCTACAAGCAGATGGAAATGCCAATACGGTCCAGCAGGTACTAAAGAATGCTCAAGCCAAGTATGGCGAGGCCGTTCATCCAAGTGGAACGGATGATTTACAACCACGATCAAAACACGGGAAAGAACGGATTCAACTAGGCCGCCTCTACCCACATGTGAAATGGCGAAGACACACCAAACAGTGGTCATCGGCACAAGAGCCAGATTTGAGCCCGGTGGCTCAGTCTCTAAAGAGTGGTACACCAGTTTCAGGGATTGTATGCAGTCTCCCATTATACTTTGACGCGTCTGACGCTGAGGTGAAAAAAGATGTGGTGAACGCTTTAGATCCGGCAACACCAGGACAGTTAGTTGACCTGAATATTCCCGAGGGCGGTGATTTAGGCGAGCAGGAGCTGAGCACACCTCAAACATCCGGTGATACTTCAAAAACTTCTTTGACGGTGGTACATACTCCCCATCGGCTAAGCCACGCAGCTATCTCTCCCGCTGCCGTGGAGCTATTCGAGAATGGTATAGAGTTCAATGGAGAGAGCTCCGTAGGTAAGGACAAAAGAGGCCACACAGGACCAGAACGAACCGAGAAAACTCCAGATGGTTCTTTTTTAGGTCGACAAACCCTGGGAACTCCCGAATCCCAGGGCAATACCAAAATAACCCCAACCCGCTCAATCAAAGACATTTCGAGCCTGAAGTCCCTGGTTGCGACGCTCGACTCACAGCTGCAGAACCAGAAGGATAGTCTACTTCCAGAGGCCGCTACCGCACCGAACACTCAGAGAACGGGGCACGAACTGTTAAAGAATTCCAAAAGCGCCGATATTATCGGGGAGAAAGCCCAAAGACAGACAAGAGACCGGGAGCTTCAGCTCGCAGATCGAGGAAGCCCTCTTCAAAAGTTATCAGCAAGAATCAAAGGCCGTCAAAGATTAAAGAAAAACCCTCTTGCCACTACCAGAGTGTCCTCTCTGGATCATATGCTCAGGTCAGTGACGAATTTGAAGGAAGCAATGATAGCGACGGAATCCTCTTCGAAGGAAGACCTCGTCCAGGCGGAGGAACTTGCCCAGCCAGAGATGAAAGTTGCCCCCACGAAGACCCCGGATTCCGAAGAGATGACCGTAACGACTGCCAGCGACATGGGCAGTCAGGTCGGCGAAATAGACAAGGGGACGCAAAGCGAGTGGAAAATGCCGGCGGAGGACTCAGTGAAAGATCAAGGGTGGAACAATTGGGCCCAAGACGTAGTTCAAAGAATGGTCGAGAGGAGCGAAGGGGTCAAGGACGACCCTGCATCCACATGCATCACCACCACTACTGGCTCAGGCCAGACGACGTTTCCATCGAGCCAAGAGCGAGAGCCCCAGATCAAGAAAAGGAACCCCCTCCCCTCGAGCCAGAGCTTCAGCAATTCAATACCGACCAACATGACTGCCGATGGGAAAGAATACCGGATGAATCATGCACGGAGTACCTCGCTGAGCTGCGAACTAGATCAAGAAACCGATACTATGTCGACTGCAATCACCAAGCAGAAGTTGTCAGAAATAGCCCAGGCAGACTTAGTTGTGACACCAGAGCGCCAAACTGCCCACAGCATGTCACCAATGTGTATATTGGCCATGGATCGACAAAAAACGAACTTGACAGCAAAAGCACCTGGGTCGGAAACAGTTGCAATATTAGTGCAAGAGAAGTGCATAACCAATCACAGGGAGCTGGCCCAGCCACAAGAGAGCACTATTCAGGGTCCGATTGCGGAAATGCAAGTCGGACAGCTACTGGAGCCGGCGGAGCAGTCGACCCTCCATGTCGAGGAGAGCTTGGGGAAGTTAATGTTGAGCTACCCGGGGTCGTATCCTCACCATCCAGACGCCAACGACGACATCGCCAATCTTTTGAGTAGTCTAATGAAAGATATGGGATCTTGTGACCTACCCAATTTCTATCTTCGGCCACGCGAGAAAGGAGTATTTATGATTTGTAAAGAGGGCCTCCAAACGTTGCAGTCAGTCCTACAAGAATACTTTCGATTGTACTTGGCCCCTTATATTCTTCCTGAGCCGGGACCGCATAGGAGAATGGAGGATCCCAGCACGATTCTTCATAATGTTGCAATTTTGTTCTTGACTTTCCCCGGAGCCTGTCTTGCCGCATGGGCCTTTTCATAGGGAGTCAAGGTCGCTGTGGCTGCTATACGGACTGTTTTCAAAAATCTGTTCTCCAAAGAGTGAAGGCTGAGTATCATGAGTTATCCACTGAATGGAGTTTTGGAGCTTGGCAAGGAACACGCTGAAGCGGCGATGATTCAACATTTCTTGGTCTCTGTTATGGGAAATATGATGTGAGGTGGTGTTGTGAATGGATCAAGAGGGTTTGCATGATAAGCTGAGCCTGATGATGAACTCATGGACTCGTCGGTTCTATATAATTAGATGATTGTTTCAATAAAAATTATTATCAAAACTATCTAAGTATTCCAGCATGAACGACAAACCCTGCACTCGTCTTCAGTTTTTCGGGAAGAGCATCATCAGGAAACCTCCAGACGCGAAAGTATTTGTGGAATTCAGTTAACCAAGTCTCAAAGACCTCGTCACTGCGAAGCTGTTGTGCAACGATGCAGATACAGGGTTTATTAGTGTCTGGGGAATCCTCCTTGCTTTGCCTGAGTCTGCAAGCGTCCGCGCAAGTCTGCACCAGCGGAGGGACCAGGGCGTAGTTGTAAACGCAATCACAAGCAAGGACAAGGTCAAAATCCCCCGATGGCCCCGGGGCGAGCTCGCTTGTCACCTGGTCAGTCTCCCAGTCGAGAGTGGCGAACTCGACAGAAGCCGATGAAGACGAGGAGGCAGAGGCAGAGGCTTTCAACTTGGACGGTCGTCGTGCAGCGGCGGGGCGAGTCCGCGTGTGCTCTCCTTTGATATGATTCTCCGAGATGTTCTTCGAGACGAGGCGCTGTACGTAGGGCTGGTCGGTCAGGAGGACGTGGGAGACGTGAGGCGCGAGGGCCAGCCCGTTGAGCGGGGATATCCCGCAGCCGAGCTCGAGGACGGAGGAGGCAGGGGAGAGAATACCCGAGGAGAAGAGCGGGTTGAAAGGGGAGGAGATGAAGGATGCGAAGATGGGGTTGATCTTCCAGAGGACTAATCAAGACGATGGGGTGTCAGAGCAGGGCCAAGTGTGCCGGCACTATATTGGGTGTGCAGCATGAGATTTGTTGATCTCTCTGTGCCGTTTCCACTGTACGGGGATGAGGGAGGGCTTCAACTCACCAGCTCCCGTGGTCCCGCCAGCCCGGCTGGAGGAGAGGACGGTTGGCGACTGATGGATGGTGTATTCCCTATCGTGTACGACAACGTCGACGGACGAGGCCGTGGGATCTATGAAGCCCAGGTTCTGGGACGGTATTTCCTGAGAGAAGAGCAGGAAGGTCTCTATTCAACGGCGTGAGAATTGTGCTTGACGTTGCATCTGCATCGGATTCAATCCAGCACTTACCTTCTTCTGGATCCTCAATCTCATCCCCAAGTTTCGATGTTAAAGCGTCGAGGGCCATCAGGCTTTGTACTGTCTGAAATACACAGTAATAAGAATTGAAACTTATTGACGCAACCGTGTCAAGTAAAAATACCAGGCGTTTGGTATGGAGCAGATAGTCGCTGAGGTAGTTATTGTGAGTATACTAACAGAAATGAAGAGTTGCAGAATGTAGCAGTTGATGTGAGCGAGGTGACTGAGGCTCCACCAGCAAAACTGACAGCCTATACGGACCCATTGATAAATGTATCCATCCGCCTGAAATCTGGTAAGCCGCGACTACGTGTGCTGCGGTGAGAAGGTTCACTTCACTACGAGGAGTGAGCTGGCTTTGAAAGAATATCTTGTCAATTAATACCTCTTGCAAGGCTGACTTTTGCAATGCCCAAAGTTATCGAAAAATGCACGCACGCCTCATATTCTCACTTCCGAGTACCGAATCCCATAAAGAAGAAGAGCCCAATTCAACCGCAACAATGATAAGAACGCGTGGTGACACAGCCGCAGTCTTTACTACGATCTTCATTCAACCCCTGCCATGTCCCAGGTCATAAGACGACATCAAGCCTTCCCTTTGCTTCCAACGTCGAATTGCTCACACCAAGCCATCGTACAAGGACAAAGCACAAACGATAGTTTCGTCGCGCTTACTTCCCTCCTTGAATTCCTCAGCGTCCAGGCTGCCATTTTCATCCTTGTCCATCATGGCAAAAATCTTCTTGACTCGCTTTTCTGGGGTGTCCTCATCCTCTGGCAATTTGACCATGGAACCGACCTGCGTTATTCATTAGCAAAGCTTCCAACAGAGGCGAACGGGGATCTCTGGGATTGTACCATTTTGTAGATAGCCTCGACGATCTGAAGCATTTCGTCGTAACTGATTTTGCCATCACCGTCAATGTCGTACAGCTGGAACGCCCAGTCGAGCTTATCCTCTGTCTTGCCACGACTAGTTACACTCAGCGCGCAAATAAATTCCTTGAAGTCGATGCTCCCAGAGCGATCGCTGTCGAATACATTGAAGACATATTCCGCAAATGCGCTTGGGTCGCCAAAAGGGAAGAATTGGCGGTAAATCTTTTGAAATTCCTCTTTGCTAAGCATTCCCGATGGGCAGTCCTTCAGGAAACCTGTGGGGTGGAAGAATCAGCACTTCTGCTCTTTTAAATCCGACTAAGTCCAAATGATGGCCGCGCACCTTTATACCATTGTTGGAGTTCCTTCTTATCAAAATGGGTCGACTTTTGGAGCTCAGCAAGTTGATCTTGCGAGAGCTTGGACTGTCTGTAGAAAAAGTATAACATTAGCCTTTGGACTGGTTCCGTACGCCATTTGGACCGTCAGTGATGATAACGCAGAACCTCCAAACATCCCCATGCTGCAATACTTGAATCCGGAGGTATGACAGGTACCCTCGAGACAGATGATGTCATGACGACTGGGGTTGCCTAATATGAAATCTCGAAACCTAAAGGCTCTCGCTACTTACGATTTGCCCATGCTAGCCAAAAATTTGGTCGTCTATTTCCAAGGTAGCGAACGACGTGGTGCTGCTATGGCGGAAGGACCGGCGAGAGAGACCGAGCCAAAAGAACGTACGCAATGGCACAGCAAAGAGCGCTACCTTTGCGGGTTACTGGTGGCTGCCGTTGTCGACAAGAGGCGATCGAAAAACCAAGATGACTGTCGACTGTTCCTGAGGAAAAGGTGCTCAATTTATCAGGGGTTGTGGTTTCGCTGTCGGCCGGTCGCGGGGATGGGCGATCCAGAAATCGATGGTGGCGGATGTTCCCGTCGAGTCGTCGCGAAGTCGGTCCCACACGCGAGTCGGTTGAAGCGTCGTAAGCAAGTCGTCAACGCGAGAGTCGTAGGTGCGCGATTAGGTCAGAGGGAGTTGTTGTATCTCGAGATAGTAGACTGTGGTGGGCGCTCGCGCGTGCAAGGACGAGGGGATGTGAGAGGAGACTGGGGGAGGTGGCGGTCCCCGGTAATGGCCAGACCAGGAAATACGGTTTGTGGGTGGTGTGTACTTGGGTCTGCCCAGTTTCGCCGCTGATGGTTGAGGAGGGGCTAAAATAGATGGGCTATCAGGGTGCTAGGTCTTTTTCCTCTTCAGAAGGGGAAAGGAAAGCCGGTGAATTGCTGCTCCAGGTGGCAATTATTGAGAGGTTGCGGGCAAGGCGACGATGGACGGATGAATGGGGTTCGCGATGGTACAAGGTGAAGAGTGTATTGGGGAGGAGAGAGGACGTATCATCAATGTCACAAAAGAACCAACAAGCAGCCAACAACACTCCGACGAGACGCCTATGGAGGGGCCTGGAGGGACTGGTGGGTGCGACGGAGGGTCCTTCTCAAAACAGGCAGTTGGGAGGGGTCCAGACAGCCCCTTCCTTGTATGTTTGGTCCGTCGGCTTGTTCCAGGTCGCTTCGTTAGGAGGCAGGATGGGGGTCGCGCGCTGGAGCTGCCACAACGGTCTACTTTTCAGTTACTGGCCGTGCCGCAATAAGGCCGCCCGCGCTCCAGTAGTTCCGAGGTACTCTGTTGCGTGCTCACGTCCGTTCAAGAGATTCGGTGCCCGAACAAGCCAAACAAACATGTGACCCTTTTTTATTGCTCGACCGAGCGAGCAACTGCAGCCAGTGTGGATTTGTAATGTCAACCGGAGCAGTTTCGATCGCACGCATCGACCATTCGAGAAGCACTGGGACTTGATTACCTACATGCATGGATCCTTCAGCAGCGCCAGCCCTATAGACTCGCTCGCTCCTCTCAAAGGTCTTTTGCTCCTAGCGACCCAGAATACGGGGTATCCGAGTCTTCTGTTCTTCCTAATTCTCAGAGACCTATACCGAACGGAGATGTCTGTTTTGCAATACTACTCTACGAGCCATTTTCCGGATGGGCCCAGATCCGTTCTGTCGTCTGAAGGCGCCCCCAAGCTTCTCGAATTCTCTTGGAAGTTTTCGTCTGCCACTGAACACTCAGGAAAGCCTACATATCTCGTTAGTTCCAGCCTCCACAGGTACCGAACGTAAGGTAGGCATCAACGCATTCTTGCTGCACACCTTGAGCCGGTTTTATCTTCAGATTTTATGCTCAATAATGTAAACTGAGGGAATAATTTCAGTGTTCTCGCTGCCCAGGTAGGCAGTTTCAGTTACTCTTCTTGACCCCTCCACTACCGCAAGTTAACATGGAGGGCCCTCCAATTTCAACATGTCTCATGTCATTGTCCTCATCGTTTGAGGCTACCTGGGCACTTACCTAGGTACCTAAACAACCAAGGTAGGTAGATCGACAAATATTTCGGCACAAGAGTAATGGAGCAATAAAAAAATCTGCTGGGCCTCACGGCAAAGACTGGGTTTCCGACACGGCACAACTACCACGTGAATATTTTTAGTTTCAAGGGGCTAGATGTGGTAAGATCGACAGATTAGCAGTCCAATCGGCGCCTCAATCGTACATCATCGAGACCCAATCTACCACGAGAGTCGTATGCGGACCCCAAGCTATTCTAAACTTCAGATAGCCACCGTCCTTGCTGACCATATGCGATGTCATCGTTGCAATATGCTTCCACGGGAAAGATGTCTATCAACAAGTCAGATGTCTGGTATATTTTGACATAAGTACTTGATTGGGCTAAAAAAAGACCTGTCACTGATATGCTGTCTTGCCAAATGAAACGTGCCAAGAATTCCCCCCTCAATTTCAGAATATCCAGTCATGTTTTCAGGTTTCGCTGCTCGTCTGGTCATGTAACTAACTACCTATGCTTTCTACCCCAAAGAATGGTAAGAATTTACAGGTTTCAATTACATGTCTATGTTGATTAAATATTCGCTGTCTTGCAGAAGAAGCATACCATAGAGATTGAACACCTGGAATTGAAATGTACACAGAGGGCCTGGGGTATCAGTCAATAGTGGCTTGTTGCAGCTCAACCGAAGACACCCACAATTCGCGCTGATGCGTTCGCGGCGGCATCTCTACGGGATTGTCTAGTCTCCGCCTGGAGCACTATTCCGTCAAAATATTCCCCGACTTATCTTTGTCAGCTTTATGAATTGCAACCACATGGAAGGCTAGCGGGCTAGTTTGGTTCGATACAACGTGCTTAGTTGGTCAGACGGTATGAGCGAGGAGCTGGAACACCCTGTCTCTGATCCACCCGCGGGTTGTAGCCATGAGCTGAAGAATCAGCTGCGGGGGCCGGATTGGGTTGCGTTGATTGACATTCAGGCTCTTTGATTATACGTCTCACGGCCTCCAGATAGAAGCATTGCAGGATCGACAGAGAGCCCGGGAAGAGAAGGATGGCCGATTATTGGGTGCCGAGATCGATGCATCAGCATATCAGGCCTGCTTTTTGAGTCTTATGCATGCGTGCCACTCAGCTGCTTCTGCAGATGCCGGACCACAAAGGCGGTATGCCTGGGCTTCCCCGTGGGAGTTGAGTCTCATTGCGGGCACCGACTGCCACCGAGAACTCCAACGATAGCCGGCATGGTGAGACACAGCCTGGCCGTGACGCCGCCCAGGCAGATGCAGATGCACCGGACTTAGGTTCGGTGGAGATAGCCAGGCCTATGTCCTAGCCAACTGCTAACCTCGCTCTGCCTAGAGCCAGCTGGGCTGCGATGGCTCTCGCCAATCACTATGAAGTTGTTTGGAGATCCTGCAGGATGGCGCCTGCCGAGGTGCTATAATTAAGCAGGTCCATTTATCTCATTAATTGGCAGATCCATCTCACTCGCCTGTTGACTCGTGTCGACATGGAGGTGGTGGAGACCTAAGCCGGAAGGATGAAACTTTGGCAGGTACGACGCTGCTTTGACTTGCGTCTTTCAGTAGGTGCAACTGACATCATTATTAAAGACAGCAACGTCTCCCGATGCAATTGCCGATTCTAAGCTGCATTGGGACGGTATTGTTCATTGCCAGCGTGCGACAGATTTAACTACCTACCTATATTCGGGACGGCTTCCCTCCATTCCGATCGCCCAACGGCCCCTCTTTCTTCTTCCTCAATCACAGGCGCAGCGAACGCGACGGGAGACGACCTGTGCAGCGGCTCGTCTGTTCTTGACCACGCGCTGTATCGCAAAATACGCCCTGAATGGATTCACAAATCTGCCGAGATACATGAGAAACTGATTTCAGACTTCACGCGAGGAGGGCGAGGAGATTTAATGCTGGCGCCTAGCGCGTCCAAGCTTGTTCTCTGTTTGAGAGGTGAGGGGGTTTCTCCTCCAATTCTAGCCGGTCAAATAGGCCGCAGCCACCAGCGACTGATATCGAATTTCTAGACCCAAAGTAGCCTTTCCTGGGCATCCATCAACTGTCATCAAGTTCAGGCCTATACTTAGCATTTTGTTGGCTTGGGAAACTTGTTATTGCATCGCAGCGTCTTTTAGACTCGGCTCTTCGTCTGGTGTTTAAACTATACCCACCAGCCTGCGCTCCATTCTGCATGCCGGGCCAGCCTAGCACCCGGCCATCACGCCAGCGCCAACGAAAAGGGGCCCTAGCAGCGTTACGTCTCGGCGCCTTCCCCGGTGTTGCTCGCAGCAATTTTGCTGCTCTGGCCCATTGAGGTCATTTTAATCTGCGATTTTACTTATTTCTGCTACAATCTTTGCGATCGTCGCCATGTCTGCGTCAGGCCCTCCGCAAGGGCTAGCTGCAAACCCCCAGCATTATGATCAACGTTATCACCAGGAACAACCCCACCAAGGTCAACCCCACCAACATCAAGGCCAACCTCACCCAGGCCAACCAGTATATGATCCCTCGGCAGTTAAACTAACCCGGGGGACTAGCTGTGTCCTTTGCCAGCAACGCAAGGTCAGGTGTGACAAGAACAAGCCGTGCGCCAACTGTGTCAAGGCCAACGTTGAGTGCCGCGTGGTTCCTCCCCAACCACCAAGGCGGCGAAAGAAAAGACTCCAGGAACGAGACCTCATTGACCGCCTAAAAAAGTACGAGTCGCTCCTCAGTGAGAATGGTGTCAAATTTGAACCAATCGGCTCAGAGCTCCGCTCCGATTCAGCCCCCATGGACGAAGTGGAGGAACTGGAAAATGACTTCGAGACTCTGAAAGCGACCCCAGAAACAAGCATGTCGCCGTCGGGCTCAACTAGCGGAAAGTAGGTTGATCTATCTGGATTTTCTCATCCTACGATTGTGACGCTAATCCGCTATCTCTGCAGGCCATCCAGCTCGATATTTGCATTGCACAGGGAGGTTGGTCTTCAAGGTTCCTTGGCCATCGAAACCCGTTGTATCTTGCTAACGCCGCAGCTCTTTAGTTCAGGGCTAGTGAGAACTTGATTCAAAATTCTTCAGATGAAGAGGGTGAGCCCGGTTCTCAAATTCACCGAGCGTTTGATCGAATATTCAGCAACGAAGACGGGTTTCCGTTTATCGTTGGGGGTTCCTTCATTCCCGTCACCCAGGCCCACCCGAACCCTATTCAAATCTTTCAATTATGGCAAATCTACATCGACAACATCAACTCCCTCCTCAAAATCACACATGTCCCCACGGTCCAGGCCCAGGTCCTCGGGGCGACTACTCAGTTGGAAAAGGCACCAAAAAACGTGGAGGCTCTGATGTTCGGCATTTACCTCATGGCCATCACTTCTCTTGAAGATAAGGATGTTCAGAGAATGTTCAGCGAAGAAAAGCAACCCTTGCTTAAGCGATATCTCACAGCTACTCAGCAAGCTTTGGTGAATGCCAGTTTTCTGAAAGCTGAGGACCCTCTGACTCTCCAAGCGTTTGTGCTGTATCTGGTACGCTTCAAACCTCTGACTTTTTCGCGCTTGAATCACCCTAACATGGTGCCAGTTTGCTGTTCGCTGGTTCATTGACCCACGCCAACTGTTTTGTCTAATCGGTATGGCTGTGCGTCTAGCCCAGCGGATGGGCCTCCACCGCGACCCTGGGGGCTATGGCCTTCCTCCTTTTGAGGTCGAGCAGCGGCGTCGACTCTGGTGGGTTATCGTTGGGTACGATCGTCGCCTAGGAGAAATGACCGGATCAACTGTCACTGCGCTGTCGAGCGGGGGAGACTGCAAGCTTCCACTCAACGTCAATGACAGTGATCTCCATATTCAGGGCAAGGAGATGCCTTCGTCACACAATGGCCCCACGGAAATGCTCTTTGCCCTCACCCGGGTCGAACTATCAATAGCAGTTGCGAGTAATAGCAATCGAGATAGCCAACAGGTCAATAACCAGTCCGGTGGGAAAGAGGGTTCAACGAGCTCTGCCTCTAGTTCCAAGCCTGATCAACCGACATTTCGATTAGCTATCCCCGATTCGCCGACGTACACTCTTGACGGATTCTGCGCGCATATGGAAGGAACATACCTTGCCCATTGCGATTCAAAAATTCCCCTTCATTTCTTCACTTTGACGATGACTAGGCAGTCGCTGTGTAAGATGCGTATCATCAACTTCCTTGTACGCATGAACAGCTCCGATAAGATTCCGCTGAAAGAGGTGGAGCGCGAAGATCTATTCTCGCAAGCGACGCAAATGATTGAGTACGACAATGTTGTTCAGTCCTCCGAGAGTCTCGCCCCATTCAGATGGTACTCCAGACATCACTTTCCATTCCCAGCATATATGTTCCTTGTCCAGGAGCTACGCGCCCGAGTTTCAGGGCCCAGTGTAGAACGAGCATGGGATGCTATTGCTGCCAACTACGAGCTTCGCGGTTTATTGAATAATTTCCACAACCCGATGCACCAGATGTTCAAAAACACATTCATCAAGGCTTGGGATGCCCACGAGTCCGCCCAGCGAGCTCTGGGAAAGAACATTACTGTACCGCGCTTCATCCATGTTCTCAGAGAGCGTTCAGAGCAGCGCCGTATGGAGAAAGCAGATATGCAGAGCATGGATCACTCGGCCGGGATGAGCACCCCTTCTCACAGCGGTGATGCGTCAATTCACACACCGGGAAATCACAGCTCCAGCACCGGCATGTCCCCAGCAGCAGATTTACAACCGAGTGGTCCTGGGCCAATGCCCCCAGGACACATGGCAGGTCCCAGAGGCCAACCCCAGGCTATGGATTGGTCCTCATATGTCGTTCAAGGATATCCAGCCCCAACGCCATACCAGAACGCAGGCGCCTTTGGCTCCTTTGGAATGCCGATGGGTGGAATGCCGGGAATGGGTCCTGGCCCTGGCCCTGGGGGTCCAATGTTTGGAAATCAACCACCTAGGATGTGATGAACCATTGCGACGATTTAATCTGTATACCAAGGCTATATGATTCTAGATATGTATGATAAATTTAATAGGGCGGCGTTCTTTTGGAATAGAGGCAATACTCTGGCCGGATTCATCCGACACATTTCTCTTATTTACTTGTTCGTGTGATCTTCACTACCGGAGATGCAGCATCTAGAGTTGGGGACGGAAATCTTGACTCCTTTTCTTTGATTAAGGGGCTTCATCATTGGGGTTTCTGCCCTAAAAACTCAACCCAATCGAACATGCCATGCAAGGACAGGTCATTGAAGCTGTCAAAGAGATCCTGCAGGAGCTCATTCGCCTCGTCGCTCGAGAGCCCCATGACCTCGTGTTTCGCCATCATCGCACTGCCCCAGTCCTCGACTATCGACTGCGCAAAGGAGCCAATCTCCCGTAGACGGGCGTCGTGGTGCCAGCGCCCGATGGGCAGGCGCTTGTGCCGGACCTGGACGTTGACGAAGCCAGTCTCCTGCAGGACGGCGGGCATCTCGTCGGGGAAGAAGAGGTTCCAGCCGAAGACCTCGGAGAAGGGCCCGGCCACGAGGGAGTAGAGCCTGGTCATCGGGTGGTTTGTCGTGTCGAAGGCGTCGTTCTCGGCATAGATCCTCGTGACCACGTCGTGGCATTCGATCCAGCCGCCGGGTTTCAAGTTCCTAGAGGGATAACACTGTCAGCAAGATTTTTACCGGATGGAGTATGATAGGGATGGTAGGGCCTCTTACTCGAAGCATCGTTCGATCAGGCGGCGCGGGTGGCGGAGGGTCTGGACCGTCGCCCGGATGAAGAAGAGGTCCGCGCCGCCGTAGATGCTCGTCCACGGCCGGACCTCGTCCTCGAGATCCTCCACGTGGAACTCGACATTCGGCGCAGCCCACAGGGGCTGGATGGGGGAGATGTCGGTCCCGATGATGCGTGCGCCGGGGTACTTCTCAGCAGCTGTTGCGACATACAGTAAGCAGGAATGCGGGAAGGAAGGGGGGTTAAGTCAAAAAGGGGAGGATTTTTAGGACGAACCGTCTGACGCCCAGAATCCAAACCCAGTCCCGAGGTCCACAATCTTCTGAGGGTGGTCCCCGATGGGGGCGGAGCAGATCTTGCCCTCGAAGATGTAGTCCATGTAGAGTTTGTGCTTGAGCCCTTCTCGCAGCTGCTCGGTGTCGTCGTTTGGGAGGCCGTAGCGGTCCTTCACCAGGCCTTGGTATCTCCTGGTTGAGTTCTCACCCCGGTAAGCCCGTGTAAAAGGGTACAACTTGTAAGCTAGAGGAAATCGGGGACTCACCTCCCATTCTCGTATGTGTGTTCCAAGCGGGACTCGGACACCGAGGTAAACTCTGAATCGGCGATGGACTCATCATAGTCTGATGTCGGGTCGTCCTCGAGGTTCATGGCTCGAAGGACAAGCAGGCACTCCTACGCCCGAGGTTCGGCATGCCAGTACGCGACGGCGGGATTCGAAAACTCGCAACTGTTTTGCCGTGTTTAAGGAAGGTCAATGGAGAACAAGGGCATGTGTCGACAAAGACAAGACAACAGCAACTCGGAAACAGTGATGATAATGAAAAGTGAGTACCTCGCCAGAACTAACAAAAAGAGGGCAAAGCAAAGTTCAGAAAACGGAATTTCATTCCACTCTACGATAGAGAGAGAGAGAAAAAATCAACGTGTATGTGGGACTTCTTCTCGAGTGTCCAACGAACAAGCAGATTTGACCTAGATTGAAATGAATCAAATAGTAAAGAGGGCGGGCAGTAGAATCTTAAAGGCAGGAGATGATTGAGAAGCGAGAGGGAGTCCCGGAGGTTCGGGTCCATTTGATTAAACTACGTTTTAAGTTAGATATATAGCAGGTCTAAGCTGAGGCCCCGGTCTACCCACAACCGACCCGTGTGGATGGGAGAGGAGGACTCGAGGCATGTACCCTACTGGGTAGCGTGTGTAAGGCTACCTGTTTGAGGAGTGAATGCAGTGCCAGCAGTAGTGTAGTACTAGGCAGGTGAGTGGTGCATGGATGGAGGGATGGGCAGGCTGGGACCCAACCAGCTGGGTGAGGGGGCCGGTGGGGAGCAGGGGGGAGACGAAGCTCGGGTCTGGCCGTTGGCTGTATCACCTATTGGCCGTTTGCTGATCACACCTAGAAGAAGCAGAGGCTTGAGCTGGAAGTACATTGAAATCCAGACAGAGGGCCTGCTGCCAGGTGTTGTAGTATACATCAAAGCCACCTACCTTACGACTATAGTACATGCTTGGCCATCTCCCCCCGGTAGGCTCTCCGTATAATCAGGCCCAGGGTGCAGTGCAGAAAGCAGCACGGACAAGGCGGGTTTAAGGGAATACGGTCATTACCTTGGGCACAGGCCATCAGTACAAGAGCTCGGTGATCTACCTACCTTCCTGGGTAAGGTAGACCAATGTCCTCGCCCACTTGGAGGCAGATGTTGGTCGGGGCCGCTGCTCATTTAATCTCCCCAGGTGGGCTCTCCCTAGCCTTCTGCTCCCAATGGAGTGGAACGGAGGGGTTGTCATAGCACGGCATCTCCAGTCGCGGCCCGGGAAATCGGTAAGGTGGCTGGGACTTATTGGTCGGTATCTATCCCCTCCTGGCTCACACATACATACACAGACATGATGGGAAGCCCGAACCCGCAGCTGCATGATGGTGGGTGTATGGCCACCTGTGCATTGTATCCAACCCCTCCTCGGGACAAGAGACGCACATCGCGGCCGGGATGAGAGCAGAGTGACGTGTACTGCTGCACCTTGTCGTCTTCTCTGCTTGGGTGCTTTGCTCGGCCGCCCGAGGCAGGGCATTGGGCAGCCGTTTCCGAGGGCTGGGGAATACCCAGATCTGTCTTGTTGGTTGTGACTGCGGCTCGGGTGAGGGGCGTGTGGGATTGCGTCCTGCATCCAAATTGCTATTACTTAATCAAACGCGCTTGCATGAGTAATCCCTCGAGACGAGAGGAGGAAAGAAAAAAGAAAGAAAAAGGAAAAAGCAAAGTGCTTCTATGTGCAGGCGAAGTGCGTGCAGCTTGGCATTAGCGCCCAGCGCCAAGAATGCAACTTCAAGTCCTCGGGAAGAGCAACCGTCCACCTCTAGATGACCTCGTTGGCTCGCTAATCAGGCCTAGCTAGAAACTACCCGAAAGTACTGATCTGTTCGTGCGACGGGATATGGGGTCCCAGGGCCTTGGGTGCCATCTGCTGGAATAGAGCTGTGGTGCAACGGCTGCAACGGGCGCACAGCATCCGGTCTGCACCCCTCCCAATGGATTCAAGCTCGCAGCACGGAAGAGCCACCCAAGGTTGCTTTTTCTCTTCTGCTTCTGGGCTGTTATGGCGTGCATGTTTAGTGCCGAGTCAAGCACGTTAGCGCTGGACGTCATGGCTCTGTCCAACTGACTCGGACAGCCCGAGGCACTAACTGGGGCGGGTAGCGGTTTCATTTAGCGGCTGCCGCAGTTGAACCTGGTCTCTGCAGCACCAAGTCTACCCTTGGATGGTCACGTTGCATCTGAACATCAGCCAGCTTCCATAACGCTCGGATGGTCAACTGCATGCAGGAGTTTGCATATTGCAGCAGCCAATGGCACTAGCAGGCAGCCCGAGCCATCTGCGGTGTGCGGTGTACTGTGCCATTGTGTTAGTAGAGTGGTATTATTGCCTTGCCCACTTATGCAATTAGACAGGTGCAGATATGGAACAGCACAGTTTCAGATGGCATCGAGACAGCAAGAAACACTTGTTGCAGACAGAGGCATTGATTCCAGGGATTCAGTTCGGGCAGGCATCGCGCTCTTACTGCGCTGAGATATGGACAGGCTAGATCCGTGACCGTTGTGGCTAGGGACTCGCAGCTGTAGCTGGGTTGGCCAAAGTATCACATTGCATAGACTCCTTACCCGTCTTCGTAAAAATTCGAACAAAGAAATATAACAAATACTACCATTTCTAGTTCTCATCTAGGTACTTCAAGACGGGCACTCAATGTCTGCGGCAACGAGCATCCCGCCTTATGTCAGCATTCTATCGCCGCTGTTACCCCTCTCTAATTGGGCAAGCGCGTCTGGCCCGGCGCGTCCTCGATCGCTCACACGCGTAAACAGTCTTGAAAAAGTGCTGATTCAATTTAAAGTACCTGCTCCATTCGACTCAATGCCCTCCTTGCATCACGACTACCCGCTCGGTCTGTCTCAGTCTCACTGGATTCCTACAGCATTGGCATAGGCGTCATCTTTTTGTTTCTTTAATTGTGCATTTTATTTTATCTACATGATCCTTGTCATCCATATCCCGCGCTGCCTCCGTCACATGTAATGTCCCTCGCCCTTTAGATACCCCCTCGACGACCGGTGTCCAAGTTCGCGTCGCAGTATATCTTGCCCGCCTTGCATCTCCTCCAGCAACCTACGATCTCACGAACAAACCGGCATTTCATGCGTCTTTCAAGAATAAGGAGGAACATACGTGCAGAGCCCGCCAGCCATGTATCTTCCACGCTCCTTGATATCGAAACTGTACTCGCATCTGCAAGCCACGCGACATCCGCTGTCCCCGCCGGTCCTTATCCTCGTCGCATTAGAACCCGATGCACTATGTGCGTGCCGAATCCTGACGAGGCTTCTCAAGCATGACTATATCCCACACAAGATTCACCCCGTAGCCGGGTACAGTGACCTCGAGAAGGCGGGTGCCGAACTGGTAGCCCCAATGATGGAGTCCCAGGGCGGTAGCGGAGGCGTCGTCGTGTGTCTCGGTGTCGGGGGTATGATGGATCTTGGGGAAGTCCTCGGCCTTGAAAGCCAACCCGAAGCCCCTTACTCCGGTGTCGAGGTATGGGTCATTGATGCCCACCGACCCTGGAACTTGGGCAATGTCTTCGGCGGCTTCCCACTGGAACCGGCCGCGGAGAATTCAAGCTCGTACCAGTCCAGAACTCCGCATGGCGTGACGGAAGGCCGAATCCAAAGAGTATACAATCCGGGCAAGGGCGGTATCGTTGTTTTCGATGATGGTGATGTCGAGGAGGATCTGACTGGGGAACGCGACGCGTATCTCGCATTACTGGATATGCCCGATGTTGAAGACAATGGGGAAGATCTAGGCTCTGACGACGAGAGCGACGGGGGTGGGGATGAGGATAATGACGGCCAACAGTCCCCTCGCGCAGGGCAAAAGAGGAAGAGCCTATCGGATGGACATGATCTCGAGGACAGCGACGATGAGGACAGCCGGCCTAGACAACGAAGGAGGAGCAATTCGGTATGTCTGATATCCGTTGTCAAATCGCATTGTTTTTGTTGATGCTAATTTCTCCCCAGTCGACTCCGATTCCAGATTCCTCTCCTCAGAGGCCTCAGCCGAGAGGATTAGTATCATTACGAGAACCATATCTGGGCCTATCGAGCGATCCCATTGAGCCTCCTTCAGCTGCTCAAGAAGCACCAGCTCCGTCCGCTCGATCGTTGAGGAAGCGTTTACTACGAATGCGGCGAACTCACGAATCAGTCATTCGGCAGTACTACCGAAACGGTTCCTGTTTTGCAGAACCCATATCATCGATGATGTACTCTCTCGCATCAGAGCTCGGTCGCGAAGACAATGACCTCCTTTGGCTTACAATTGTGGGAGTTACTTCGATGGAGCTCTACGGACGCTCCTCGGCTGGTATAGCGGCGCCTGTAAGGTCGTCAGATAGGAGGAAGCCCACAGGCTGGCTGGGTGTCCGTGGTGCTCGCATACGCCAACTGCTGCGTGATGAAGTCCGGAGACTGAACCCACCAGAAATCACCAACGGAAAGGTCGCCCCTGAGAATACAGGCATAATTCCCACCACTGCTCGAAACCCCGAGGACACTGGCATTCGACTGTCTCCTGAGCCGAGGTTTCTACTTATTCGACATTGGAGCTTGTACGATAGTATGTTGCACTCCCCATATCTATTCTCGCGTCTAAAAACCTGGAGCGAGACCGGAATCAAACGCCTTCACAAGCTGCTCGCGAAGATGGGTGTTAGCTTGGCACAATGCAAACAAAACTACACGCACATGGATATGATGCTAAAAAGGGAACTCCGAGCAAAGCTCCTCAAGTATGGGTCTTTATATAATCTTGATGAGATGGTTCCCGCTGTGGATACGGACGGGAAGGATCGCGGGGGCGCCAAGGACGGCTGGGGTTTCGTCAGGAGCTGGGGATGGAGAGCAACTCTAAGTGCTGAAGATGTGGGAGTTGTCATTGGTGCCTTGTTGGAGGTTGGCAAGCACGCCCAGTCTTTGCCGGAAGCTCCAGTCACAGCCGCACAGGCCTCCCAGGATCCCGACGAAGGGTTCGATTTCAGCGCACAAGCTGAAGAGTGGGTGGCCCGGTTCTGGGAAGCCTATGACGCACTGGAAGAGTAAGCGAGCCTCATTATTCCGTCCTTTTCATGTCAAGATGGCAACAAGCTAACATGTGATGACTCAGTATCGATGCTCTCAAGGCCGGTCTACCTACCGCGCAATTCCTGCACCGTGCAATCTACCGCACGGGAACTTCGCTCATCAACAAGAAGCAAATCAAGCATCTGCGTGCTTTCCGGATGTGTGTTGTCAAAGATGGACCGGATGTTGCACTATTTACCCATCCTGCTGCTCTAACCAAACTCTCTCTCTGGATCGGTGAGGCTCTGGGTGAGCAAGAAAAGGAGGCTCATGGAAAGCTATCTCACGGCGGACGCGGAACCCCCCTGGTCGTAGCCGGTCTAGATGAGAAGCGAGGGACGTATGTTATTGTCGGCACCGGTGGTGGTGGCGGCCCCGATACCGCCTTTCTCGACCGTGAAGCAGCGAAACGAAAACAAGAGGAGCGAGAGGCCAAAGCGAAGAAGAAGGAAGAAGCCAAGAAACTTAAACAAAAAATAAGGGAAGAGAAGCGGGCGGCAAAGATGGAAGCTGGCCAAGATGAGGATGAAGACCTGGAAACGGAATCTGAGGCGTCAGATGCGTCAGGCTCGGACGATGACTCGGACGACGATGAAATGGAGGACCGTGACAAGAAGAGTTATGGCCTGAACAAGTTCGGCATTGCCTTTGCCGAGGTTGTGTCGGAGACAAGTGCTCGGGTTCGGATAGACAGCTTCGACAACTGCGTAGTCGAAGTGAGGAAAGAGGATTTGGGTGGCTTCCTAGAGAGTCTCAGTATGAAGACTGTCGTGGGCTAAGGGCATTGGGACTCGAGATGGGCTCGTTGGATATGTATGATATGGGCTCGCATTGGCGCTGGGATGAAAATGGGCAGGCATTTGTGAACAGGAGCGCTTGGGAGGAGTTTTTATTTTACTCATACATGTGTTTTCCATTAACTCCATATTAGACGAGCAATACACTACTTGCATTGAGCTTTGATTAACTAGAGCAACCCCCTAACCCATTAAGATTAAGTGTTTGCGGACAAAGAGCCCCGTGCCAAGTTTCTTAACTCTTCGACTTTGCAACCTGCTGGAAGTTAGTCTTAGCAAGGAACAAAGATCTGAGATAGGGAATATGTTAAACTTTTAGACAAAGCGTAGAGGGTAGAACAGCATTGGTTTAGGACTTAAATATCACAGTTGTGCCCCAGAGATCACTCGTATTGAGATTTGCACTCCTAGTCTCTCACTTCTGGTCATCTATTCCTTGCTTGATTGCAAGACAAGTTGACCTCACATCTAACCAGCTCAAGATGTGCGAAACTGTACGAACCAGAATGGCATGCGGCCACACCCTCGACCACACTCGTAGGGTACCCAATTGCCCCTGCACAGACTCAGGCCCGTCGCAGTCCAACATCGTAGAATGGAGGTATATCCCGGACACGTGCGCGGACTGCCACCATGGACCGGCGCTGTTCCAGCAGAACCGCGCGAGCTACGAGAGTCATCACGCGCTGCTCATGCGCTATTACATCAAGGCGAAGGAACTCGGGGATGAAGAGACCATGGCCAGATTGGAGAGGCTGGCTAATGAGAGGAGTGGGCAGCTGATGATGGAGAATTCGAGGACTCTGAGAGGTGTACGCAGGGCGGCTCGATAAAGGAATAGGTTCTATATTCAAGGGTATTTCTATGGTTGTCATTCTAAGACTCGATGTTGCTTGCTTGCTTGTTTGCTTATGAACTTGAGTGGGAAGATTAAAGATTATTTTGGGTGATGTGCTGTAAATGAAAGCAAATACGCTTGCCAAACTTGGGAATATTGTGTATGTATTTGTGCATTTTCCCGGATTTTGCCGTGTCGAAAGAGATAGGAAGAGTGAATATGTTGGAAAGAAAAGGATGGTGTTTCGCGGATGGTTACGGCTTGATTCCGTCAAAATGATGAATGAGACGAACGTCTTGAGCTCTCAAAACCTAACCAACGATAGGAGTCCGTCATCAGGTCCCAAAGGTATCCTCGTAGAAAAGGCCCTTGGCGTCTTGGTTTAAGGATTCTGGTGATGGAGAGCGGGCAGGTTGCTGGATATCTCGTTCATTCATGCTAATTCTAATCGATATTGTTAGCAAATTGTAACATGAATTAATTCAAGGAGGCGCAACAGACATGAAAGAATCAGAGTCGACTTGTGATGGGATGTCATCTTCAGCGTCGGAGCTGGAGAAAGAGTGTACATCATCGCTACCAGCATACGCAAAGGTCTGGTACTTGAGTCCGAACGGGACCCGTAAACAGGCCAAGGAACGGCCGAAAGCTTGATCGAATTTCTGTTCCTTGAAATCTTCCAAGGTCGCCAAGGGTTCCTTTTGGAGTGGGACGCCCCAAGGAAGCTGGTACATTGAGGAATCAATGCTTGAAGAGTTGCTTCCAAACCCGCTAGTGTCTTGGCCAGATAGTTCCCATAAATTTTCGATATTTTCCAGTTCCCTCTCGGTGTCCGGGGTCAACGTGGCAAAAAGGACCTGAATATCCATTTCAGAGGGGTCGGGAAGGATATCAGCAGAAGCATCAGCCCTGGACGTCGATTTCGGAGAGAGAGGCGGTGTGTCGACAACCGGCTCTGCGTGTGTTCCAAACGAAGTCTCTCCAAACTGCGTGTTCCATCCCATGGATCTGTTCTTCGATTCATTGCCCTCATCTGTCATTAGAGGAGATGGCTGTAATACAGCTGGTAAGTTGCCACTTTTGCTGTGCTCCAGTCGAGCTTTCTTAGGCTCGACACAGGCTTGGCCATCTGTCGAATCGCATTTTGGTCTTTTCAGCAGACGAGACCCGTCTGAGTCATTAGCCATGGTTGATAATTTGATGTTGAAGAAGATAAGACGGTTGATTGATTGAATTGATGATCCGAGGATGCTGCTCCCTGACAAATAGACTGGTTCTGTGTCCAAGGAATGGATGTATTCTCTAGAGTGAATCTTTAGCATAGTCCCCGTAGATAATTGGTGTTATCTAAACTTCCATTGAAAACTTTGGATGTGTAAAGAGATGCACGGCCAATCTTATAGAGGGAAGGTTAAGGAGAACACGATTGATAGTCACGTACCCTTGATGGATGGTGACCACACCGTGAGAGGCCTTGCTAACACTGCTGCTTCAAATACTCAGCGCCACCGTCGTGTATGCCACCTTAGGGCAGCTTACAAAATCACCAACATCCAACCAGGCACCTGAGAGCCTCGAGGCCGGATCGACGTTGCCCCTGACCAAGGACGGGGCTCAGATACGGCACAGGGCTATTCAAGCATCAATGAAAGGCGTGTACGACGGGTTTGCGAGGGTTGGAGGAGGGGAACAAAGGCAGCCTTGTGTCCGTCCGCCTTCTTCACATTTCCTGTACTATCATTAGGCAAAAGAAGGACCTGTTACATGCATGCACAAGGATGGTGCCACCCCAGTGGCGGCGTCCCGCGTTTGCCCCGCAGGCCCGGTTCTCCCTCCAAGCTTGGCACAGTCCAGACATATCTCCAGGACACAGGCAGACTCCCAGCTCGCGTGTCAGGGATGCAACCACCATCAGATAGGAATTCTCTATGTGGCCAATATTACTTGGCAGAGGCAGGTTTGCGTGTGCTCTTGCGTGCCTTCCTTGTCAGACCTGGCGGGATTAGTCATCCAAGGCTGGCCAAGCTCAGTGGCCACTTATATCCGCCGCCTTTAGTGCTGCTGCTGGAGCTCTGGGGGATACCTTGGCTCTCATAAAGCCGTAGGTATGCTCAAGATGAACTTGGCAATACAAAACACAAGAATTCATTTCTTCCTATCAGCTAGGGGCTACCCCAATCCTTTGAGCACCGACCAAGCGTAAGGAAAAGCATGTGAAACCCTGCACCCTGCTTGGTGGTTCAGCTCCCCGTGTACCCACCTCTTTGTGCTGGCAGTAGGTACTTAGTACCTACAGGCTACCGCCTACAGCGTTGCCTAGCGTCCCGTTTATCTGTCTAGGACAACGCGGGGCAGATGCAGCTTCATCCCGAAAGTGTAAAGCAGATCCGAGACCAGGCACCAACCACAAGACAACACCATCCTATCTGACGGCGCGGACCAACCCTCAAACCTCACATTCGCTCCAACTACGCCACCTCTAGACTCCCCTCGACGACATTTGGTTCACCAAAGCCCAGTGAAACCAGCCAAAGCAACAATGGCACCCGCCACCGAGGACCAGGGAACGCCTCAGGTGAATCCGCTGATCTCGACACAGGGAAGCTCCGAGCTCCAAGTCATTCTTCACCCGCTAGTTCTCCTCTCCATCTCCGATTACATCACGCGGCACACCCTCCGCAAGCAGGAAGGCCCGTTGATCGGTGCTCTGCTAGGCCAACAGAATGGTCGAGAGATCACCATCGAGCACGCCTTCGACGTTCACACGCAACCAGGCGCCCAAGCTTCCGGAGGATATTCCATCCACCTGGAAGGCTTCCAGAAGAGATATGAACAAAGTAATGACGATTGCCCTCCCATTTCCAGGTTTCCCCTTGAACACTCATACTGACGCTCTCAATTAGTGAAGAAGGTCCACCAGGACCGCCAGCTCGACTTTGTCGGCTGGTACACCCTCCTCCCGCTATCCGGCCCCTCGCCCTCCATACTCGACCTCCATCGCATCTTTCTGAGCGAATACAACGAGTCTGCCATTCTCCTGGCATTCCACCCCGACCAGGTACTCAGCCACTCCGCGGGCGGCACGCTGCCGCTCACCATCTACGAGAGCAACTGGGAGGTCGAGGGGAGCGGCAAGGCCGCCCCCGACAGCACCGAGGACAGGAACATGGACGACGCAGAGGTCGCCGCCCAGATCAGGTTCAGGGAGCTCCACTACTCCGTGGAGACGGACGAGACCGAGATGATCAGCATGAACTACGTGGCCGGCGGCGGCGGCAGCGCCGCCGTCAACGCGCCAAAGGAGGAGAAGCCGTCGTCGCGCTCCATCGAGACGAACAGCAAGGGGAAGCGCCGGATCGTGGAGAACGAGGCCGAGGACGAGAAGTCCGGGGATGAGGCCCTGAACCGGGAGGAGGAGGAGGTCATCGCCGCGCTCACCGCCAAGGCCAACGCCATCAAGATGCTCCAGTCCAGGATCCAGCTCATCGGGTCCTATCTCGCGAAGCTGCCGCCGTCCTTCGTCAACGGGGAGCCGTCGGACGATGACAGCATGGATGTGGACAGCACCGTCCCCTCTCTGCCAGTCTTGCGTCAGATCCAGGCCCTCATCTCGCGGCTGGATCTGATCATCCCCTCGGACAAGGAGTCGTTTGAAAAGGAGTTCCTCCAGCAGGTCAACGACGTCAACCTGACCGAACTCCTCAACAACATCATGCAGAGCACCACCCAAGCCAGAGAGGTCGGGAAGAAGTTTGGCGTCGTGGAGCATGCTAAGCCACCGAACAGACGAGGAGACTTTGAAAGCCAGGCAGGGTACAGCATCTTAAACAGTGCGGGAGACATCATCGTGTAAAAAAGGAATGCACTATTAGGATGCTTCACTTTTACATGAGCTTGGCGTTTTAGGAATTCAGGTAGACACGCATGTTTATGAAACCAGGAATGTAATGACCATACCTCTCCATGCCTACCAATCCGTCTTCTAACATGGGTCATGCGTATTGAGTGACTTGAAACAATCTGTTCTATTCACGAGTACATACAACAATATCGGCAATTTTGTACCTTTCTATTACCATCAAACTAAGAAATACAGAAATCATTATTCGACGAACCAGCCACAAGCCTCTTCCAGACTTCCACAACTGTCACCATCGCCATCGCCCGGGGACCTTGATGCTCATCCTCATCCACCAACAAAAGGGTTCCATTAGCTCATTACCCCATTAGCAAAGATATCATGTTAGCTAAGCAGTTTTCTTTTCATCAAGGCTCGATCACAACCTTGATAACCAGTTTCCCATCATCGTCTGAAGTCCTGCTCGCCAACTCGAATGCTTTACTAGCCTCGCCCAGCCCCTTGAAGCGGTGTGTGACCATGTCACCGAGGTTCGGCAGAGTCCACCCGAGCCCTTTCTTATTCGACGAGCAAAGAAGACGGATCCCTGTTGTGTATGTATTGGCATATCGGAACACGCCGACGATATCGATCTCCCGAAGGTGGGCAACGGAAAGGGGCAGTGTCTGGACTGGGGTGCCCATGCCAACCATGACAACCTTGCCCCCGGCCTTGGTGGCATATAGACTCGTGTGCATGCACACTTCTTTGCCGGTACACTCAAATGAGACGTCAAATCCATCCTCGTCTTCTTCCAAGGTAAACCCATTGCATACGTTGGACTCGTTCAGGATCTCCGCGGCAATCGCCTTGGCCTGGTCAAATGGGCCCGAAGATGTGAATGAGCTCGCGGGTGTCATGATACCGTCAGGGGTCGAGATACCTGAGCTTCCACGAGAGCCATTGATATTTCTGGGTACAACATGTCCAGAGGTTGCGAAGCCTTTTGAAACAGCATAGTTGACTCTGCCAGGGTCAATGTCTGTGATTGTCACCGATGTGCAGCCCGCTTGCCTTGCCATGGCAGCAGTTAATAGACCTACAGTGCCGGCCCCTATGACAAAGGCCGTGGAGCCAGGTGTAATGTTGGCACGATTAACTGCGTGTATGGCAACTGAGAGTGGCTCCAAAAGAGCTGCTGCATCATATGAAACGTGGTCAGGGAGCCTATAAGCCGTCAGAACACATTTTTCAAATGGATGGATCTGGGGTGCTCAGTACTTGTGGCACCAATCTGCTGGATGATTTATCCTCTCCTGAAGAGTTCCTTGGTAATGAGGGAATGTCTTCGCACTGCTTCTGAACCTCAACTTTTTGCAGAGATTATATCTCCCCTTCCTGCAAAGCGCACAGGTATTGCATGCAACTCCCACTTCAAGGGCGACTCGGTCGCCAATCTCAAAGCCTCGTACCCGAGGTCCAATGGCAACCACTTCGCCAGTAGATTCATGGCCCAGGGACAAGGGCTCACAAGCACATAAGTCACCATTGGCAAACTTCTTATAATAAGAAACATCGGAGCCGCAGATTCCTGTTGTCCTAACAGCGATTTGCAATTCCCCGGGTGCGGGATCTTCAAGTCGTCTAACCTCCTAATGATAGGAATAATATACGTTAGCTCTTGACTTCAACTATAAACCCGGCGTATATGTGTTCAGTTTGGCCTCTCGGGAATGGAAAAGATTTATCTCACCAATCTGAGGTCTCGAGGGCCATGTAGAACAGAAGCCAAACTCGAGGGTGGCTCGAACCCTTCAACGGATGGGATCATCATTGAGTCAACGCCCAAGGCTCCGGGCGCCATGGTCAATGTTGTGAGAAAGTATAATTACAACTTAAATGAAGAACTGATGACAAGAAGGAAGATGATAATCACAACTTGTTTTTGTTAAGGGGAGATATGTGCAGATCGAGTCGATAGGCGGTAAAATGCGAGAGAAAGACTTGGGAAATATATCAACGAGTAAGCCCCAAACACTAAATCGCCTGAGTGTTAGATTCTAAGCAACGTTGAAGAAGGCCCAATGATGACTGGAGATTAAGCGAAGGAGATGAGGCAATGTATAGCCCAGATAACTGGCGAAGTAAGAGCACTCACATGCAGAAACGCAGCCACCGTTAAGTAGGCGAACGACGGGGCTGCGGGGGATCAGGCCAAGTTTCCTTTCTCTCCAACAACTCTCTTCCGGGGGCCAGGTATTACGCAACCTCCATCATTAGCACACGATGATCTACCCAGTCACAATTGAATCACTTATCCGGGTCAAGCCCGGTGTATAAAGTGTTACA